GAATTCGTTGGGTCTCAATGGCGTGTGATGGTGGTCTGACCTCGCACGCAGCACCGCTTACCCCTGAAGTCGTGCTTCCATAATCCCTTTGGCTCAGAGGTGGTTTCGTGGTCGCATGACTCCATTTTCTATGCTGCGTCCTGCGTCCTGCGTCCTCCTCCTCCTCCTCCTCCTCCTCCTTCTCCTCCTCGAGGCAACGTGCCCATGAGCTTACTGCATTGAGTTTCCATATCTTTCATAAACTCAGAGCTGCACTTGCTTGCCATCCGCACCTGTTCGGCACTTATAGCATTACCACACAAGCTAGGCATTCAGCGATGCTTGCATGCCAGACTAATCAGGAGCGTGCTGGAGTCGTTCCCGCGACCCCCTCTCGCACGCGCCAATCCATATCTCGGCCGATGAGGCCTCAATCAGGTAATTGATCGTAGAGTGGTTGCATGACTCGTCCCCCCATGCTACGTGGACTCCTCCTTCTCCTCCTCCTCCTCCTCCTCCTCCTCCTCCTCCTCCTCGCCCTCCTTTCCTCGGGTTGCCTACGGCCCGGGGGGAAAACGACCACCCGAGGATGGGCATCGGAGATCGGATTGGTCCGTGGGCGTTTCGGGGCCGGACGGGTGTCGGGGGCGGCACGGGGGGTCTTCCCGCCCCCCGTCCTCAGGAGGTTGCGACCGCCCGAGGGGTGACTCCTTTTGGCACTTCCTGGCGCCCGCAGAAGGCCACCCTGGGCCCTGGTCTGGTAGACGGGCCCTCCTCGAGCCAGCGCTCACCAGATGAGCGACGTAGAAGCACGGGGTCGTCTTCGCCGACACTGGCGGGTAAGCTGCCCGCGTAAGGTCGCGCGTGAGCGCCACCGCTCCAAGCGTCGCGTGCCGCGCTGGCGGCCCGCGCAAGCCACAGCGTAAGGTCGCTGTGCCATCTCGTTAAAGACCCGTGTTATCGATCGTCGCTCAGATGTCCGCCACGGGCTCCCGCCAGCCTGCGATGCGCGGCGGCGGAGGCGGAGAGGGAGTCGGCCACGAGCAGCGGGGGGTAGGAGGAGGGGGGGAGGTTTCTTGGAAGCACCCCTGCTTCTTAGAAGGCGCGGGCCCTGTCTGTAGATGTGAGGCTGGCGCCTGCCAAGAGGCAGGGTGCGTCAAGCCTTCCCCCCTCCCCCTGCCCTTCAGTCGGGCGTGTCCCCCTACAGAGGGATTTTCGACGAAAAATAAAATGTTCCCGGCAAAGCAACCTAACAGCGATGTGTGTATAAGCAGATTTGGAAGCATTCCCCTTGAGATTCAGGTGATAATCCATTTGTAGAATTCTGTTGTCCTCGCAGTCGCAGTCGCAGTCGCTATGACAGTCGCAGTGGCAACGGCCTTATGATCCAATGGAATCCTAAGGATTCCTTGGGATTCCTAAGGCATCCTTAGGCATCCATAGGAATCCTTAGGAAACCTTAGGAATCCTGATTCCCAGGGGTTCCTAGGGATTCTTAAGGATTCCTGAGGAATCCCAAGGATTCCTAAGGATTCCTGAGGATGCTTAACTCTGCCTACGGATTCCTAGGGATTCCTATGGATTCCTACGGATGCCTCAGACTGCCTCAGTTTCAGCCTCAGCCTCAGCCTGCCTCGGCTTGCCTCAGCCTCAGCCTCAGCCTGCCTCGGCCTCAGCCTCAGCCTGCCTCAGCCTCAGCCTCAGCCTGCCTCGGCCTCAGTCTGCGTCAGCCTCAGCCTCAGCCTGCCTCAGCCTCAGCCTGCCTCAGCATCAGCCTCAGCCTCAGCCTGCCTCGGCTTGCTTCAGCCTCAGCCTCAGCCTCAGCCTGCCTCAGCATCAGCCTGCCTCGGCCTCAACCTGCCTCAGCCTCCCCTCCCCCCCCCTTCCCCCCCTCATTCAGCTTCACCTTGTCTCAGCTTCGGCCTGCCTCGGCCTCATCCTCGGCCTCAGCCTCAGTCTCAGCCTCAGCCTGTCTCGGCCTCAGCCTGCCTCGGCCTCAGCCTCAGCCTGCCTCAGCCTCAGCCTGCCTCAGCCTCAGCCTCAGCCTGACTGAGCCTCAGCCTGCCTCCTCAGCCTCAGGCCTCAGCCTCAGCCTCAGCCCTCAGCCTGCCTCGGCCTCAGCCTCAGCCTGCCTCAGCCTCAGCCTCAGCCTCAGCCTCAGCCTGCCTCTCAGCCTCAGCCTCAGCCTCAGCCTGCCTCGGCTTGCCTCAGCCTCAGCCTCAGCCTGCCTCGGCCTCAGCCTCAGCCTCAGCCTGCCTCAGCCTCAGCCTCAGCCTCAGCCTCAGCCTCAGCCTGCCTCGGCCTCAGCCTCAGCCTCAGCCTGTCTCAGCCTCAGCGTCAGCCTCTCAGCCTCAGCCTGCATCAGCCTCAGCCTCAGCCTCAGCCTGCCTCAGCCTCACTCTCAGCCTGCCTCAGCCTCAGCCTGCTCAGCCTGCCTCGGCCTCAGCCTCAGCCTGTCTCAGCCTCAGCCTGCCTCAGCCTCAGCCTCAGCTTCAGCCTGCCTCGGCGTGCCTCAGCCTCAGCCTCAGCCTGCCTCGGACTCAGCCTGCCTCGGCCTCAGCCTGCCTCAGCTCGGGCATTCAAAATATTGCACAGGACTTGTGTTCTGGGAACACGAAGATCACGAAGTGGTCCACAGTTGGCTCCGGGCAAGCAAAACATGGTACAGGAATGGTGTTCTGGGAACACGAAGAACACGAAGTGGCCCACAGTTGGCTCCGGGCATTAAAAATGTGGCCTGGGAATTGTGTTCTGGGAGGACGAAGAACACGAAGTGGCCTACAGTTGGCTCCGGGCATTCAAAATGTGGCCTGGGAGTGGTGTTCTGGGAACACGAAGAACACGAAGTGGCCTACAGTTGGCTCCGGGCATTCAAAATGTGGCCTGGGATTGGTGTTCTGGGAGCACGAAGAACACGAAGTGGCCTACAGCTGGTTCCGGGCATTCAAAATGTGGCCTGGGAATGGTGTTCTGATGGCTCCGGGCAGTCAAAATGTAGCCTGGGATAGTGTTCTGGGGAGTCCCCGGTTTTCCCCGGCTTCCCCCGGATCCTGCCCAGACCCCCTTGGGGAGTCAGCATGTTCTCTTTTGACCCCACTAGAAACCTATCAGTCTTGGCTGTTAGGTTATTACACAAAAAATCTCAAACAATAATCCAAACATAGTCTGGGGAGTATTTTTCAGTTTTTTACATGTTTGGACTATTTTTGGGGTATTTTTTTTTATTTTTCGTCGAAAATCCTCCTGTAGGGGGACACGCCCGACATAACCCTACCCCCTTCTGCGCGCCGCCAATCAGAAGAGGGAGCGAGAAGCAGGAGGCCGGCGGCGGGCGCGCAGGGCTGGGGGGGGCCTCCCGACCTCGGCCCCAAGGGGGCCTGCACCGCTGTCTGCAGCCGCTCTATCGGCGGGGGATCCCTGCGGCCGAGTGGCAGCGGGTGCGGGGGAGGCCGGGAATCCCTGAGGACCTCCAAGGGCACCAGTATGTCTGGACGCCCGAAATGGGTACGGAACGAGCGGGTACAGTGCCCAACAGCAGTTCCTGTTCATTTTGGACAGGACTCGCTGTTCACGCCGCCGCGGCCTGTGTCCATTCGAGACAGAAGGCCGCCTGCCCAGCAGCGGCCGCTGTTGGTTTGGGACGACATTTGTTGTTGGGCATTGTACCCATTTACCCATTTCGGGCGTCCAAAATATGGGGGGATCGGCATACCAGGAACACACTTATCGGGTGGGGGGGATGGGGTTGGGAGAAACGGTGTTCTCGCTCCCCGTAGGCGGCCGAAGGTATCGTTCATTGCATCCGGATGCTATTGCTCATGCCCTTCGTCCATCCAACCCCTTTCCTCCGAACACTGTTATTGCTCTCCTCAGCATAGGGGGGATGCATCGACCCCGAATCGCCCAACGATCGCCAGTAGGGGCCCGATAGCCCCACCCCGCCCAGGGACGTGGGAATTGGCCACCAGGGGCATATCGCCGACCTATCGGCGACGTATCGCCGATTCCAGGTCGATGCGTCCCCCCCATGCCAGTTCCGCCTTATCGTTGCCCCTCAGCAGGAGTTCCCAGAGATCTGAAGCTGCGAAAAACATGTGACAAGCTGTTCAGTGCGTGATCTGTCGAGCGTCGGGCGGCGGCGCAGGCGAGGGGATAGACATCCGGAACGATTGCGGGCTCCTGTCTCGCAGCCCGTCTTCTGCCTCACGGTCGGACGCCCCTGTTGCTGTTGGCAGTCGTGAGGCGATCCGTTATTCCCTCTCTCTCTTCTGGTGTGCCCCGAAGAGTTGCGAATCGCGCGCTCTTCTGTCCCCGCGCTTTTTGGGATGCTTGGCCCTGTGGTGCTTGTGAACAGAGACGCGTGTTGGATACCTATACCCATCAGACATCTTAGAAAATGCGTCAACTTGCATGGGCTCCAGATTTCGCTAAAAAAAGTCAAGAGTCTGGACTGGCCCCTGGGCGTTTTCCTAGAGCCTGATTTATCGTGAAACTGTCGCGTCTCTGGACCTGGGCTGATTTCTGAGAAAACGCTTGGAGTGAAGGCCAAAATCTTAGCGCAGAATTTGCTTTCAAGTCTAAGCAGGGGTGTAGACCAGACCCGATCCTGGGCATTCCTCGAGCCCGATCGATCTGCGAGGGCCCCAGGGGCAGACACTGGGCGCTAAAAACGCCAGGTGCGAAATCAGCGGCAGCGAGAGGATTTCACGTGGTGGGCCAGCGAAGCAGGGCCATGCGAGGGCCTGGCCCAGGTCGGACGGGGCTGGGACGAGGAGAAATCCGTTCCAGAGCGTCCCCGAACATTCTCAGAGCGTTCCGGAACGCTCTGAGGAGGCCGCGGTGCCCGAGGCATCCTCCAGAGCCGCCGGGTCTCAGAGATTCTCGATGTATCTTCACCCGAATTTGTCCCCGTCCTGGCTTCGTCACACCAGGGTGGCCCAGGAGTGGCCCGTGGCGGCGTTGGCCGTCGTGGCGGTCGCCTTCTGCGCGTGCGAGGGGTGGTGGCCTCGCCCCCGCGCGAGGACTCGGCGGCCGTAGGTCTTTCTGAGCGGCAGCTGGGCTCGCTCCGCCCCTGATCCCCCGCGTCTTGACTGTCTGGCAGCGTGGATATCAGCCTCCCAGATGGGGTCCGAGCAGATGGGGTCGGAGGATCGGGCCGCATCGCCGATATCCCGTCTAATCTTAGTCAATCCCGCTCAATCCCGATTAAACCAGTGAAGTCGGTGGTTTAATCCAGCTTTGTCTGGCCTAATCCGGCTCAGTGGCCCCTTAATCGGGATTGATAGCAAATGATCGTTCTGACAAAGACCTCCTAGGAGTTAATTCCCATCCCAGAGCATTTCGGAACGCTCTCAGAGCGTTCCGGGACGCCCTGAAGAAACGGCCGCGGCGCCCGATGCATCCCCGAAACCCACCGACTCTCAGAGACTTCCGATCTGCACCGGTCCGACATTATCTCGATGCAGCTTTCGCCTTATATCGGAGGTTGATAGACCTCCTACCCTGACACATCGATTAGTGAATTGGCCGTTGTCGGGTCGCGAGAGGGCGTCGCGACTGTCATTTTTGCGGGTCCAGGTCCGTCGGTTTCGGTCCATGGCCGTTTTCACTATAGGGAGGTTTACGAGAGGGAGGTCTGTCCACCGCCGAGTGTAGCTTTCACCGTTCCGGCGAAGACCTCCCGGGAGTGGATCCCGGATCTGCTCGGAGCGCCTGTTCTGGGAGGCCTCTAGAAATGGGCGCGCGGCCTCGCCGTGGCGCCGCCCGTACCTCCAGCGGGCGCGCGCCCGGGCCGCCCACGGCGCGCGTGCGAATACAGCATTGTTTGTCTAATCATGCACATCTCTCTCTCTCTCTCTCTCTCTCTCTTTCTATATATATATATGCAAATCGTTCCACATTACATGTGCATGTATACAAGTATTATATATATAAACATATACATATATACATATATAATACATATGTTTGTAAGACAGCAGTGGCGCTTCGCGCCATGCACCATGGCCCTTCGAGTTTCGCACGCGGGCGGCGTGCGGGCGCGTGCACATCTGCGCGGGAGTATGCGCGTACATGTCGTAGGCGCGCACGTGCGCGCACGCCATACGTGTATAGACATATTTAGGCGTGTGTGTATATATATATATATATGCATACTTATACACGTGTGTGTCTGTGAGTATCGTGATGTTTGTGTGTGCACCTCATACTATTTTTATGTTTGTACCCATATTTGCGCATACATATGTTTCGTGTCTGCTTGGACAGTTCTACGTGTACACACTTACATGTCTATATACATGTACGCGGTCGTGGCCACAGAGGGGGAGCCAGAAACGCAGTGAAGGGCTCGCGAGTGCCGAAAGACTTGGGTAGGAGACGGCATGAAGGACACGGCAGCATGGAACAGCGACCTGGGCTTACCAATGACCGTGTCTCTGGGGCTATGGAAGGAGCCGTGTGAGAGCCTTGGGGGGCCTGGGGACCGTGTCGCAGCGGGGCTCGACGCTGAAGTTGTGTTGCGCCGCCGTACGCTCTTGGGAGGCCTCGCATTCAGAGTGCTAACGTCACGCGGACCTTATTGGAGCCTTCTGAGGGCCGCTGTGGGACGTGGTGCAGTCCCGTTATGGCTTGGGCCCGTCTTGGGGCGCATATTGGTTTTGTTGGGCTGTCTTGAAGTCACGTTCGGGCTTTGGCCCGGTTTGGGCATGTCGTGGGGGTCTTTTTTGGGCGTTTTCGAACTTCTGTGGGGTCCTTGCGGGATCTTTTGGGACTCTTGGGGGCATCTTCGGGTTTCCTTGGGGCCTCGTGGGGGCCTCTTGGGGCCTCTTCGGGGCCTCTTGGGAGCCTCCTGGGGCCTCCTGGGTGCCTGTCGGGACTGTCTGGGGTCCCTCTTGGGCTGTTTTGGGGCCCTCTTGGGCTGGTTTCGGGTCTTCTTGGAGGTCTGTCGGGCCATCTTAGGGCGATCTTGTGGGCCTCGTGGGCCGTCTTGAAGCGTCGGGAAGCCGACAAGGGGAGAACCCAAAGACCTCCCACAAACCAACGGCAAATCAATGAATTCCGCTTCGTGGGGCCCTCTTGGGAGTGCCCTTGGTGGCCTCTTGGAACGTTTTGGAGGAATCTGAACTTCTGCGGGGTCTTTGCGGGATCTTGTGGAACACTCTTAGAAACCTTTTGGGGCTTTCTGGGGGCCTCGTGGGGGCCTCTTGGCGCCTCTTCGGAGCCTCTTGGGATCCTCCTGGGGGCTTCCGAAGGACCTTCTGGAGAGCTTCCGGGCACGCGTATTGGGAAACGCTTAGAAAGGGCCTCCTGGGACCTTGTCGGGACTGTTTTGGGGCCCTCTTGGGCCAGGTCTGAGGCCCTCTTGGAGGTCTGTCGGGCCATCTTAGGGCGATCTTGGAGGCCTCGTGGGCCGTCTTGGAGCGTCGGGAAGCCGAAAAGGGAGAAGTCAAATATTTCCCCAACGGACAAGCAATCAATTTTGTCTGTTGAGGTCATCTTGGGAGTGCTCTTGGAAGCCGCTTGGGACGTTTTGGAGCGATCGTTGGGGGCATGACGGCTTCTTCGGGGTCGTCGTCGACCGTCTTGGGGCTCTCTGGGGTCGTTTCCGGAGCGCGCCGCAACGTCGGGGGCCGCCTTCGGGCTCTCGTGAGGTCCTCCCAGGTCGTCTGGGGGAGTGCCCGAAAGGCCCAGGGTGGGCCAATTTCGTTAGGGGGGGAGGCTTTTTCCCGGGTCCCCAGCCTTATACAAGGATATACATAGGTATATATATATATACACAAGACTGCATTGGCGCTTCGCGTAATGCGCTTTGTTCCGAACCCTCCCCGGCAAAGCAGTAAATCATCGTTTGCTTCAGCGGGGGGGGACCTCGAAGCCTGGACGGGCGACCGGCTCATGTTTCTGATATCCCTGGTGCCGGCTGACACCACGTTCGCCCGATGCGCTTGCACGCTTGTGCGCAGGATTCACGCGCGAAGGTCCTTTGATGAAGTAAGGGGCATTCCCATGACACGCCGAAGAAGACGCAGTAACTCCGAACAAATCGATTGTTGGTAGCTTCCTGAATGCCTGGAGGGCCCCAGGCACTCAGGAAATCGTTGATCGTCGAACATCGAATCTAGATCCATTGCTTGTCTCTCTCGATCGAGGAACGTAAACCTCGACCTGAAGCGTGGAACCAAGATCGTCAGGTCATTGCGATGTGTTTCGCAGGAAAACGCCGTGTGGGCGTTGTTGGGGCTCTTTTGGGCCGTCCTGGGACCCTCTTGGGCCGTCCCGAGGCCCTCTTGGGCCATCCTGGCGAGCTGGGGCCCTCCAGAGGTCTCCTGAAGCCATATAGGGTCCTCTTGGGGGCCTCCAGTGGCCTTCTCGGGGTCTCCCGTGGCTTTCGTGGGTCTCTCTTGGGAGCCTTCTGGGGGCATCTTGGGCTTCTTGCGGGCAGTCTCGGGTTTTTGGGGGGCGGTCTTGGGGCCCTCTTGGGCCGTCTTCAAACCCTCTGGGGGGCATCTTGGGCCGTCTTGGGGCGATATCGGGGGCCCATCGGGCCGTTCTGGACGCTGCGAAGTCCCAGACAGCGGATATTTTCAATTTATACATTTCCCAAACGGAATGGGATGATTTGTGCTTTCGGGGCTCTCTTAACAGCCTCTTGGGGCGTCTTGGGGGCCTCTCGGGCCGTCTTCAGGCCATCAAGGTTCCTCTTGGATCGCTCTTGTGCTGTCTTGGGTCTCTCTTGCGCCTCTCCGGTGACCCCTGTGATCGCCTCGAGTCTGCTCACAAGGCCCGGCAAGGCGCCCTGGGAGGCCTGGAAGGGCCAGCGGACCTTTTCCAAGGGCGTCCAGGGGGCCGCTGAGACGTCCGAAAGGGCGTCCAGGGCGTCCCTGGGGGGGGTCCGGTTTAGGGTGGGTGGGTGGGGGGGATTCCGGGTAATAGGAGTATAGAAAATTCCGTGCAACGGATGAAAGTCAATGATTTTGGCCTCTCGGGGCCCACTTTGGAGGGTTTTTGGGGCTCTCTTGGGGGTCTTGGCGACCTCTTGGGACGTCTTGGGGCCATCTTGGAGCGTCTTGGTGCGATCGTTCGGCGACTCCGGGGCCTGTTGAATCTCTTTGGGGGTTTCTTGGGGCCCTCTTGGCCCGTCTTTTGCCCCTCTTAGGACGTTCTAGAAAGGGCCTTGCCTTCGAGGATCAAAGGCGTTGCCCTCTCTTGCTCGGCGGAAGGGCGGCGGAAGTAAAACGAGGCCGCCTCCGCCGGCGGAAGGCCTGTGGATTATGGCGGAAGTAAAACCTGTGCCCCCAAGAGATGGCAACATTTTTGAGTTCAGGTTCTTGGGTCCCACCATTTGTGTAATCCTCTTCGCTTATTTTTGCAAGCCCGGGGGGGGGGGACCCCCCCTCAAAAACTGGACCCGGGGATCCGTGACCCGGGGGGCCCTCTGGACGCCCCTGCAGGAGGCCCCCAAAGATATCCGGAGCGCCTAGAAGCCCCTGCTGGGCCTAGGCAGCGAGCCCGCATCGGTCAGAGGGGCCCTGAGCGGTCCCACACCCGGCCGATGCCCGAAGACGACGAAACGCAGAACAAGCATATACTTTTTCACGGTTTGGCATGATGCTGGGAGTGCTGCAGTGCTCGGTTCTTCGGCCTCCCGGGCCTCCAAGACCGCCTGGGAAGTCCGCAAATCGGACCACGATTGTCCGAAAGAACTTCAAGAAGGCCAGGAGAGTCCCAAGACGGCACAGCCAGGTTCAAAGGTAGCCCGAAGAGAGCCCCATGACGGCCCAAGATGGCCCCGAGACGCCCCCCCGAAGCATTCCACATCGAGACCGCGGTTGGAAGCAGGATGGCCCGAGGAAGCCCCCTGAGGCCCCCAGAAGTCGCGCAGGAGGCCTCCAGAAGGCCCCAGGAGGCTTGTTAAAGCTTTCGTGGGGCCACAAAAGTCCCCCCAAGGAGGAGCTTCCGCAAACGAGCTGAGGAGGATGGGGAAGAATTCCCAGGGTAGGTCGAGAAGGGGGAAGAGGAAGAGGAAACGTGAGGAACGGGAAGACGAATAGCATTACGACAACGGCGATGTCGGAAATGGCAACAAGGCGTTATGGCTAAATTGTCTGTTTTAAAGTCCTGCTCTTCTGCTTGCATGCCGAACTGAAATGACCAAGCTGTGGGCGCGAAGTGCCAATGCAGTCTTGGTGTTCATACATACATACATACATACATGCATGCATGCATACATACATACATACATACATACATACCTATACGACCACCCTTCGGGTGATAAGGAGGTTCGGGGGGGGGGAGGAACCAACGTCTCACTTGATCGGTCTCACTATCGATATCAGTATCGGTCTCGCTCGATCGATCTCCCTCGATCGATCTCACAATCGATCTCACTCGATCTATCTCACAATTGATCTGACTATCGATCTCACAATCGATCTCACAATCGATATCACATTCGGTCTCACGATCGATCTCACTATCGATATCACAACCGCTCCCACAATCAACGTCATCATCATCAACAGCAACATCAACGTCAACATCATCATCACCAACATCATCATAATCGGGACACAGTCCTCATCATCAACACCAACATCATCATTACGGTCATCAACATCATCGGGACACCACCACCATCATCATCATCATCATCACCATCACCACAATCATCATCAACATCAGCATCATCATCATCACCATCAGGACACAGTCATCGTCATCATCATCATCATCATCAGCTGCAGCATCATCTTCGGGACACCATCATGATCACCATCGTTATCATCATCATGATCATCGGGGCACCATCATCATCATCATCTCATCATCATCATCGACATCACCATCAGCTTCATCAACATCATCATCATCAGCATCATCATCGTCATCATCGGGGCACCATCATCATCATTACCAACATCAGCCTCAGCATCATCATCATCATCACCATCGGGACGCCATCATCATCAACATCATCATCATCACCATCATAATAATCATCATCATCGGGACGCCATAATTATCATCAACCTTATCATCATCAACATCATCATCATTGGGACACAATCATATTCAGCATCATCAACATCAACATCATCATACTCATCATAATCGGGACACCATCATCGCAATCATCATGGTCATCAACATAATCAAAATGATCATCATCATCCTCATCATCGGGACACCATCAGCATCATCATCATCGTCATCACCATCATCGACATCATCATCATCATCATCATCATCATCATCGGGACACCATCATCATCATCATCACCGTGTCATCATCATGATCGTCCTCTTCATCACCATCATCATCCTCATCATCATCATCATCATCATCGTCATCATCATCATCATCAGCAGCATCATCATCAGCATCACGATCATCATCATCATCATCATCATCATCATCAACATCATCATCATCTCATCATCATCATCATCATCATCATCATCATCATCATCGCGGGACACCGCGGGACACCGGCGGGACACCGCGGGGCACCGCGGGACACCGCGGGACACCGCGGGACACCAGCGGGACACCGCGGGCCACCTGCCGCCCGGAAGGGAATCATTTGGTCCGGCTGCGCCTCAGCCACACGGGACTTTCGCGGGACACCGGCGGGACACCGCGGGCCACCGGCCGCCCGGAAGGGAATCATTTGGTCCGGCCGCGCCTCAGCCACAGGAGACTTTTTCTCGCCCGCCCACACAGCTTCGCCTCGCCCGCACGCACGGCACGCACGAACAAGAAACCGAAATCGATTTCCCGGTAGGGGGGCTCTCCGTTCCACTTCGATCTCACCCCCTCACCTCCGACATGCATGCATGTCTGCATACATACATACATATATACCTACATACATACATACGCACATACATACATTCAGACATACATGCATACACATTTTCGTACATGCATGCATGCATGCATACATACATACATGCATACATACCTATACGATCACCCTTCGGGTGATAAGGAGGTTCGGGGGGGGGAGGAACCAACGTCTCACTCGATTGGTCTCACTATCGATCTCACTATCGATCTCAGTATCGATCTCGCTCGATCGATCTCCCTCGATCGATCTCACAATCGATCTCACTCGATCTATCTCACAATTGATCTGACTATCGATCTCACAATCGATCTCACAATCGATATCACATTCGGTCTCACTATCGATCTCACTATCGATATCACAACCGCTCTCACAATCAACGTCATCATCATCATCATCAACAACAACATCAAGATCAACATCATCATCACCAACATCATCATAATCGGGACACCGTCCTCATCATCAACCCCAACATCATCATCATCACGGTCATCAACATCATCGGGACACCACCATCATCATCATCACCATCATCACAATCATCATCAGCATCATCATCAGCAACATCGGGACACAGTCATCGTCATCATCATCATCATCATCATCATCATCATCATCGGGACACCATCATGATCACCATCGTTATCATCATCATCATCATCATCATCATCATCGGGACACCATCATCACCATCTCATCCTCATCATCGGCATCATCATCAGCATCATCAACATCATCATCAGCATCATCATCGTCATCATCTGGGCACCATCATCATCATTACCAACATCAGCATCAACATCATCATCATCATCACAATCATCATCATCACCATCGGGACGCCATCATCATCCACATCATCATCGTCACCATCATAATAATCATCATCATCGGGACGCCATAATCATCATCAACCTCATCATCAACATCATCATCATCGGGACACAATCACAATCAGCATCATCAACATCAACATCATCATACTCATCATCATCGGGACACCATCATCGTCATCATCATGATCATCAACATAATCATCATGATCATCATCATCCTCATCATCGGGACACCATCAGCATCATCATCATCATCATCATCGTCATCATCATCATCAGCAGCATCATCATCGGGACACCATCATCCTCATATCCTCATCATCATCATCATCGTCATCATCATCAGCAGCATCATCATCATCATCACCATCATCATCATCAGCATCATCATCATCATCATCATCATCATCATCTCATCATCATCATCATCATCATCATCATCATCATCATCATCATCATCATCATCGCGGGACACCGCGGGACACCAGCGGGACACCGCGGGGCACCGCGGGACACCGCGGGACACCGCGGGACACCGGCGGGACACCGCGGGCCACCGGCCGCCCGGAAGGGAATCATTTGGTCCGGCCGCGCCTCAGCCACACGGGACTTTCGCGGGACACCGGCGGGACACCGCGGGCCACCGGCCGCCCGGAAGGGAGACATTTGGTCCGGCCGCGCCTCAGCCACAGGAGACTTTTTCTCGCCCGCCCACGCAGCTTCGCCTCGCCCGCCCGCACGGCACGCACGAACACGAAACCGAAATCGATTTCCCGGTAGGGGGGCTCTCCGTTCCACTTCGATCTCACCCCCTCACCTCCGACATGTTGAATTGTCGCCCGCCGCGTTGAAATACATGCGCGCAGCTCGGGAGCGTGGCTTCCCCCGAAGTGTTTTGCAACTACTGCTCGATGTCTGAAGGGGGAGGAGGAGGAGGATCTCGGCCTCCTAGATGTGGTCGGAGCAGATGGGGTGGGAGGATCGGGCCGCATCGTCGATGCATCGGCGATGCGGCTCGATGTGGAGCCTGATTTTCTTTACGCTGGCGTCGCCGATGCACCGCCGACATCGCCGATGCATCGTCGATGCATTGGCGATGCGGCGCGATCCTCCGACCCCATCTACTCGGACTCCATCCGGGAGGCCTCTAAAGAAGGAGCAGGAGGAGCACGACCGAACAGACCGATCTTGGGGCGCCGACTGTCCATGCTTCGCAGCATCTACAGGCCAGACGTTGGCACACGAGTGGCCTCAGGGAGGCAGCTTGACCCCTCTTCCCCGCCATCGCTGGCACCGGAAGTGAGAGCATGGGTGTATTTGCCCCTGGCGTGGGCACACGCTTGGGGGGGACGGCGGCGCGACGAAGCATGAGGAAGGGAGATGAGGACTCGAGGGAGGCGGCGCGCGCAGGGCGGCGGCACGAGGGGGGCGGTCTTCTGAGAGGGCGGGGGGAGGTTCTAAGGAGGCGGGGGCCTTCTCAGAGGCCATGCGCTTCTAGATAGCCCTCTCATAAGTTTTGGGGCATTTTTATACGGTGGAACACTGTGCCAAGAAACACTCTGCTTGCCTCCAGGATGCCCTGGGTTTCTTGGGTTTCGATAGTTTTGCAATGGAAAGCGTGACGTTCCCACACCAAACATCAATGGACGTCCTGGGGTCTCAGGGTTGGGTTTCTTGTGGAGGGTTTCGTGTGGTCGGGCTCCTACTGCAAGAAGGCGGGAGCCTCCTTGGAAGCCATGCCTGCTTCTAGAGAGCCTTCTTATAGCTCCGGGGCCTTTCTATGAACACCTCTTCCTTCTGAGAGGCCCCCCTGCCTTTTCAGGAGGCCGACCCCTCGCGCCACCCCCCTTGCGCGCGCCGCCAAGGGTGAGAGGAGGAGGAGGAGGAGGAGGAGGAGGAGGAGGATGAGGAGGAGGAGGAGGAGGAGGAGGAGGAGGGAGGAGGAGGAGGAGGAGGAAGATGAGGAGAAGGAGGAGGAGGAGGAGGAGGAGGAGGAGGAGGAGGAGGAAGGCGGTGGCAGGCGGTGGCAGGATTGGCTACGCGTAAGAGTGACCTTTTTCTGAGTGACCTTCGGCGCGGGCACACGGGGGTGCCACCTGCACTGCCTGGCGCGCTAGGATTGCTTGCATTTGTCCTTCCCCCGCGGCCCCCTACGGCCGTGCATCGAAGGCCACTTGCTTAGGGTCCCTGTTGCATGCAGCCGATGTGGCGGAGGAAGGAGGAGGCCCTTCTGCTGCAGTCTTGCTCTGCCACTTTTTTCGGCGTGCGCGTCCCTGGCTGTCGCGCACCTTTCTCCCCAGGGCGCCCAGGACTCCGACGTCGTGATGACCTCGAGGGTTGGCTTCGGGACCTGGGGCAAAATCCCTAGCAGCCTGGGGTGAATTACCGTCCCCGGGAAGCGGACGGACGGCAATGGGGGACAACACATGGGAGGGCATGGATCCAAAGGACCCCTGAGCCGCCACCGCAGGCCGAAACGGTGCACGAACGGTGGACGTGTCTTTCCCCCCCCGTTTGCGATCCCCCGTTCGCAGATACCCGCAGCGGGGTCGTCGAGAGCTCCAGGGACCCACTGCTTTTGCAAAGGCGATGTCGCATGCCCTGGGCCTACGGAGCAAGGCTCGCTGACGCAGCGCCCGCAGTGTAACGACTTCCTGTGCGCGCCTCGCCTGGCTGGCCTGTGCGGCGCGGACAGGGCAAAGCTACATGTCCGCGCCGCGGTGGGCATATGCACGGCGCTGTAAGCAACGCTCTGGCACGGCTGAAGGGAGGCACGGAGGCACGGACCTCGGGTGGACGGTCGCCGCGGAGCGGAGCTCCTCCTCCTGCTCCGCCTCCTCCTCCTCCTCCTCCTCCTCCTCCTCCTCCTCCCCCTCCTCTTCCTCCTCCCCCTCCTCTTCCTCCTCCTCCTCCTCCTCCTCCTCCTCCTCCTCCTCCTCCTCCTCCTCCTCCTCCTCCCCCTCCTCTTCCTCCTCCTCCTCCTCCTCCTCCTCCTCCTCCTCGCTCCGGCACCGCCAGGCCGCGGAAGCAGGGGCACGCTCAGCCACGGGAGGAGGGGGGCCAGAGGATCTCGGGCCGCTCCCGCGGTCGAAGCTGCGTCGGGGGGAGAGCCCGTTCGTGGCCGAGGCTCGCCGGCGTCGGCCGGGGAGGCCCCGTCGTTGCTTACGCAGCGATGGCAGGTGATCGAGAGCCTGCAAGATTCAGGAGGGGGGAAGAACACACAGACACAATGAATCGTCGATCCCCAGGAAAGTACAGAAAAATATGGGAGGTGGGGGGGAAGACAAAACCCTAGAACATATGAGAAAAGATTGGGAATCATTTTATTTGTGTGTATTTATTTGTGTGTGTGTCCTGGGGCCCCTTCAAAGATAGAGCCTGCAAGATAGAGCTCCGACCTCCATTCTGAATGCTCGTGGTCTTACGTGTCCCTCCAAAGTGGATGCTCGATTTCCGAAATTGAATAGTTCGATCCTCTGGGTTCTCGCTTGAGGTCGCACGTTGACATTGCTCTCGGGACGCGGCGACGGCGCCAAGAGGTCTCCAGGGACAGTTTTGGAGGGCCGTCCAGAGGCCACACGGGCATCTGGAAGCCTCTGTGGATCCAAGACGGGTCAAGAACGGCCGCAATATCTGGAACCTCTATCCTACAAAGACGACGACGATTACCAACTCGACGATGACGACGACGACGGAGAGTCAGTTCGCCACCGCCCCAGTCGGTTGCACAGCGCGTCCACCGTCCACCCGGTCGTCCAGCGTGCGCAACTTTCTCAGCTTCTGCATGTTGGCATGCGTAACTTTGTAAGTTCCGCGGCGGTGAGGCTTTAGAACCCAGACTTCCGAAGACGTGAGTGTTTATCAATTCCAGCGATCCTGTTCCTCAAAATTCAGCCTCCACAGGCCCGTCCGGGGCTGCGTGGGGCCGCCAAGAAACGGCCCAGAATGAGAAAACGGTCCGCCAAAAGAAAACGATGAGGAAAAAACGGCATCGGAGGTATTGGGGGTGCTTTCCAAACTTAAGCAGTTTGTGAATGATCGGAGCCCCTGCCTATCACCGTCGACAAATATGCCCGCGCGCAATCGTGCATGTAATTAGTAATCAGTTGGCCGAGGATCGGCCAGCCTGGGGCATAGACTCGGGCACCTTTTTGCCGCGTGCGCGCTCTGACAGCAAGATGCGTTGTCACAGTGCAGTGGCCAATTTCTTCCGATGAATACGTTTCGTTCGTCGTGCGCGTGAAGTCACCGGGGGCTGGGGGTGTGAGGATGCCACAGGGTAAAGACGGAGAGAAGGGTGGAGGAGAAGGCAGGAAACGGGAACGAGGAGGAGGAGGAGACGGAAGAGGACTACGACGAGAAGAGGATGAGGGGATGGGATCAGTAAGTCTCAGCAGGTTCTGCCGCTGCGAGCCGCGAGAAGTCCGATCACCGTGTCCGATCGGGGCCTTCGCCGTGTCCGATCGGGGCCTGCCAGCTGAAGCCATGGACCGTCCCCCCTTTACCCGGGCTGTCGAGGAAGAAAGCGCAACATCAACATGTAAGGTTTCGAAGGTCCGCGCGCCCGTGCGCCAGGGATGGGTGGCCCAGCGCCGACCCAAGAATTCTTGGCGGACCTCCGAATGGTTGGATCCCCCCCGCAACTGCGGAGAAGAGTGAGGGAGCGGCGGGGTCGTCAAGTGAGGGAGCGGCGGGGTCGTGAGCAGCCTGCGAAGCTCTGAAGAAGCCAGTCGCAGGCGCATATTACACAACGAGCCCGCCGCAGGCGCCGACCGATTTCTCGTCAAAGCAGCGTGGGTGTGTCGCAGGTGAATCGCAGGGTGGGTCACGGGGTGGGTCGCGGGGTGGTCGCGGAATGGGTTGCAGGTGGGTCGCTGGCGGGTCGCGGTCGAGGACGACGACAACAACGCAACAACGCAGCGCAACAGCGCAGCGTAAAAACAGAACAGTAATCCGCACCGCGGAACCCCACTTCAGCCACGCACCCATGGACCGATCGCCTCCTTCATTCTGATGGAGATGTTTGTGTATAAGTGTGTGTGTTTATTAGGGGGGTAAGCGGAGGGGACATGGGCAGTACGCAAAGTTTCGGGAACCATGTGCCAACAATGGGCTCAAATGGTGTCATCACTCGACATTTGAATTGTGGCGTGTAAAACCCATGAGTCATCACTAAGACAGTATACTTACAGCCGCTAAGAAGCGCACGGGTGGCATCCACGGGAAGTGAGCAAAGGTCAGGGAACAGTGCACCGTGTGCAGACCATGATTCGCAGTAAGGGCACTGCAGCACAAAGCAAACCGACGTGCAGCATTGTCAAGCCAAGGGCCTGAAGCCTTCTCTTTTACAGAGGATTGCCGAGGCTACGGGCCTCGAGTTGACCAGGATGACCACGGTGTTGGCCTCGGCCCGAGGCCAATTGAGGCAGGGAGCACAGCACGCGACTGATGCGGGCCTCGTCGCTGGCAGCCCATTGCTCTTCCAAGCCGCCGCAGAGGGCGTCAAGCCAACTGCAGACGAGCAGCTCCGAGCCGGGTATCTGCCGAGAGGGCGGCCGAAGAGGTTTCCACAGCAGTTTGATTCCCTTTCCCACGAGTTCCCCGCTGCGGCCGAGAGGCCACCGTGGCAGCAGCCACCTCTGTTTCTCTCTCGTCCTCTCTCTCTCTCTTTCTCTCTCTCTCGTTTTTTGTTTTCTCTCTCTCTCTCTCTCTCTCCCTCTATGCTCCCGCCCACAACGTACACATGTATATGTATATATAGAATCCTTGTCCAGAGCTTGGCCTGGACATCCCAGCGAACAGCCCCACGCTCAGCCCATGCTGTCGCGACCCCCAGACGGCCTGGAGCGTGAGCCACAGGAGAGACCCGAGGGACCACGACAACCGGCGGCCTGGCAGCAGGCGGGAAGCGGTGGGGGCTTTCAGAATGGGCAACCAGTTGTTAGATGCTCGTCTTGGGGACCTTCCTGGGGCCAACCGAACCGACTCAAGTTCGACACAGGTTCGACTCAGGGTCGACTCAAATCGACGGACGTTCGACGCAGCTTCGACGCACGAGTGGAGCGAGTGTCTCCAGGAAGGTCCCCAGAATGAGCATCCAACATTTGAGCTTATGGGTGCGCGGGTGAAGCGTGACTTGCACCAGGAAGTGCGGGGTGAAATCTGCATCCCCAAAAGCCGAGACGCTGGCCAGTTAGACGTCGTGCTGCCTTAAGCCCGCCCGTTGCCGACACGCGGCGAGCTCTCCCGAGGCGAGGGTGCGAAGCTTCGCGCAGTCATGGACCCTATAGCTCAAGAGGGCGGATGCCTCAAAGAAGTGGCGGGGAGAAGGGGAATGTTGGCATCCTATTGGCCCTCACAGTCGTGGAAATTCGCGGATGACACGAATGGAGGGGCGGAATTTGGCATCTCCACCAAGCCAGTTGCAACCCGAGCTCGACCAAGTCCGTGGCAGGAACGAGGACCCCGCCGAGGAGAAGGAGGAGGAGGAGGAGGAGAACGTCAACGACGACGATGCGCTCGAGGTGGAGGTGGAAGCGGACTGCGCACCGAGAAGGAGGGCCAGGACGAGAGTAAGATCGAAGAGGAAGAGGAGACGTGATGACTAGCGGGGAGGAGGCAGGAAGGGTAGAAGATAGGAGGGAGGAATCGGATGAGGAGAGGTGGAGGACCAGGAGGAGGAGGAGGAGGAGGAGGAGGGACAGGACAACGAGGCAACACGAAGACGGTCTCGAATTGGAGGATGAAGAGGCTCAGGAGGAAGACACAAGAGGACCTGGGAGAAGGAGGAGACGGACCAGGAATGGGAGGAAAGCCACGGGGCTGCTGACCCGCTGTGCAGATCGAATGGGGTGCCCGTGCGACGGCGTTGTTGGCCGGACGCCCACCCTTTCGTGGCAGCGACGCGCTTTGTGACTAATCATTCCCACGTGCCCGCAGGCGACTCGCAATCCATTAGGCACGTTTCGTCCCCAGCCGGTGCCCACGCGCGCGTGTAGCTAGGATCTAGGACAGCGATCGCGGAACAAGTCGGTTGCCTCGGCAGTCGGTGCAGACGCGGGAGTAGGAGTCGCAGCAAGAGCGTCAGCAGCGGCAGGGAGATCTCGAGACAGTGGCTTCCGCAGCAAGAGAAACTCTAGCAACATCCACATGGGCAGCAGAAGCACCCCCAAGAGTAGCAACATTACGTCTAACATGTGTAATACTCGCGAAATCGCCAAGCAGCAGGCGCAGCAAGAGGAGAAGGGTGAGACTGGTGATCGTTGTGAAGATGATGATGACGATGATGATGCTGATGATGATGCTGATTATGATGATTCTGACGATGACGATGATGCTGATGATGCTGATGATGAGACGATGACGATGATGATGACGATGATGATGATGATGATGAGGATGATGATGATGATGGTGATGGTGATGGTGATGGTGATGGTGATGGTGATGATGCTGATGATGATGATGCTGATGATGATGATGATGATGATGATGATGAGGAGGAGGAGGAGGATGATGATGATGATGGTGGTGGTGGTGGCTGTGGTGGTAATTATGATGACGACGACGATGATGACAATGAGGATGAGGATGATGCTGATGATGATGCTGATGATGATGCTGATGATGATGCTGATGATCACGACCGATTTCCATCAGGATCAGAAGCGCCCAGAGGGCGCCACCCCCACCGGCAGCCCCGAAACGACCCCCGTCGCGGACAGCCTCCGCGCGCTCCGACCCCCGCCGCGCTGTGCCCCATGGCGCGGGGCATTCCTCCAGTGCACAGCGTCGGGCAGGGCGGCGATGCACGGAGCCGTCTGAACTGTGGGAGACGCATCGCTACTGGAGTGAGCGATGGGTGAGTTGCTGGACGCGACGGGCACCGGGATACCTGGCGTACTCTCACGCGCGAGGGAGGGATCGCCGTTGCGGCCAGCCTCGTTCGCTCGGTTGCGGCCTAGCTCGTTCGCCGGCTAAGCTCGGTTGCGAACTCGGTGTTTTCGGCTGCGCTTTCGCGGTGCTGTGGCAGGGGAGGCGGATAATGACGGCCGAGTTCGGCGAGTGTGCGGCGCATTTCTTTCAGCTGCGGAAGGCGGTTACGCGCGATGGTGCGGGTGGTGCGTTGGAGTGCAGCGTTCGGAGAGGCGACCATTACGGTCGCGGCCATGGACAAGATCACACATCAGTTCTACACGTTTCTCCACCAGTCGCCCAGAAACCAGTCCCAGGAGAGTAAGCCACTCGAGGGAAGTCTGGGCGTATGCAGTGACACAAACAGATGGCGATGGGGGGGTGGTAATTGCCACTGTATCAATCTCACGGTCCATTCATTGTGATAGAAGCTGGAAGGCCTCGTGTAGGGTTGCCTCACCAACTTTCTCGGAGACATCCAAGAGTCGTCCAGAAGGCATGCTCAGGGAAAGACTTTATCCACTCGTTAGTACATTGTGGAAGCCTTCTCGGAGATACCTAGGAGTCAGCCATAGTGGCTTTCTCGGAAGCCTGAAGAAGGACCAGCCATGCAGGTTTTATCTCGGACGCTCCTGAGTTCACCATGTAGGCCTTCTTGAGGGCACCCAGCGGTGCAGAGTGCATCTCGTTTCTGGAACATCCAGGAGTCAACCATTAAGGCCTTCCCTGGGAGAGTTAGGATTATGAAGGCCGTCTCGAAGCATTGGGTAGTGAATCGTATATGCCTTTTGTGGGGCACTCGGGAGTCAGCAGCTTAAGCTTCCTCGGACAAAGCCGTGAGTCAACCGTAAAGGTGTTTTCGGAGAAACAGAGGAGTCAACCAGGAAGCGTTCTCTGCGGCGCGCAGGTGGTCCACCATAATAGCCTAGCCGCTGCAGATGCTGATGAGTCCACCGCGGAGGGCTTGTCGGGGACACTCGGGGCGTAACCGTAAATATATTATCTGGCATATTCCGGAGTTCACCAGACAGGCCTTTTCTGAGACACCAGATGAGCCAACCATACAGGCGCAAAGCGTGAATGCTTGCATAAGGGTGTCAGCAGCAAACGCGTCCGAAGAAAAATCGCCGGGAAATAATTATACACTCTTAAAAAGCCTCTTCGAAGGAGGAGGAGGAGGAGGATGAGGAGGAGGAGAGGCAGGACGAAAAGTCTGGAGACGGGGAGGAATGGGGATGAAGGCCGAAGGAGTAGGACGAGGAAAATTAGTAGGAGGAGGGCGAGCAGAAGGAAAGGGAATTGACCCGACTCCTCCTTCAGTGTCAGGTGAACCCTCGGTTAGACGAGTGTGAGGATGATG